GCATGAAGGAGAAGTTAGTAGTTACATATACACATTTTTTTTTATTATACCTTTTGTTGTTGTTGTAGTTAATTGTTTTACACTAAAAATCCTACAATGTCATGTTACTGGAAGAATACATATGGAAAAAGTTTACATAGTTAGTTCTTCACGATTGGATAGACTCCAGCCGTTGGAGACAAGGATGAAAGAAGTAGCCCTATTAGTAAAAAGAAAAGGACATTAAATTTTTATGTTATTTGTTATAACGAAGTTATATATTTCGGGATAGAGACAATTCGTAGTTAATAGAGAGAGGTAGGTAAAAGGGACTTTTATGTTACCCATCTGTTGTTTTATGGCTGCTCGATCTCTTTGGTAATATGTACATTCCATGAAAGAGTGTTCTGGGTCTTCAAAATTTGAAAAACGGCTGCATTCACCATTTAGGGTGTACTTTTATTTGGTACAGATGTCCATTTAGACCTGTGCAATTAAACCGGAGGCGTGTAATAACAACTTCTTGGTGTCCGTTCGTACATTCATACTTGATGTGAGAAGAAACAACAGGAACAATTTTCTTGTAGATATTGGAATGTTGCACGGTATTCCATCTACGCTGCCAGGAATCTAAAATGAATTGATAAACTTGGCCATAGAGGTCACCAAGTTCAATAGAAACGTTTGTGACCCACATAAATTATACATCTTGTGTACGAGCCTTATTGAACACAACCTTATAAATATTGTTACGTCTCCGTTTGTTAATTAACTTTCCGTAACTTCGTTCCGACGAAATTTTAACGACACAAGTCTTTACTTAATAAAACTGGTTTATTCTTTCCGAATATAACTTTACCGATGCACTCAACTTCAACAATCGCGCTAAACAAACGCTATAACAACGAACGTCAATAATACTTCTGACTGCAGTTCAATTACTCACTATCTACACAGACATTACCTTGTCACGTTGTCCCCCTCTTTTATATACCCGACCACCCTATATCCAGCAAGAACTAGAACATTCGCCAAAGTACAGGATAATTCTAGAAAGTAGAGAGCGTGAGAATCACATGATCTCGATGACGCAACAATATTAAGAAGAGAATATTTTAAATATTCAAGTTATAATAACAATGTTCGATACGTAAGTATAAAAGAATAGCAGGGGGGAGAGAAAGGGAAACAGCTGTCCCCTTTAGTGATATTTATTAAACGTAGAACTAACGCTCTACAGGACCATCTGAACAAGTGTGAGGCCCATGGTTAATCTTGGTGGCCCCTCTCACAGTAATGAGTACGTATAGTCTTATTAGTGTGAGTAAAAAAACGCTAAATAGGTCCATTTGTTTTATATAGATAACGTCAATTTTCCCCATTACCCAGCAATCTCTTTCCCCTTTTAATTATTTTTTCTAGTTTGGTTTAGGACCTACCTCTGATCGTTTGGCTAGAAAGCGGACAAATTTATTAGTGCTATATAAGAAACTTAATACATTCGAGAGTCGCACACCGACAACATACGTCATTTTAAAGCCGAGGATTTTGTACTTTATTTAAGGAAAAGCCTGTTGTGGAGATAATTCCTAGGTGGTCAGGTTGTTACAAAAAATTGTATAATTGTTGAGGCGAACTGTCGAGTTTGCGGCCCTAATTTCATCGTCCTAGGTATAAAAATCATCGTACAGCATCACAAAACTGCTGTAGAGGCATAAAAACCAAGAATTAATAGATTTTTACAATATTCGTTATTATTACGAACATACATCGCACTCATTTGAGCAAGGTAATTAGAAAAAAATTGATGTTTCAACGCCTTAAAGATTCGGCATCCAAGCTTTATCAGATACCTCAATATTACAAAAATATATTACAATTTTTTTCTTTTTTATAGCGGTAAATACAAGATTTCATGATACACATTCTCATGTGCTAATCTATGCGCATATTTTAGTAAAAATGATAATAACAATTACATTGAACAGTACTTTCTTGTTTGGCGCCTTAGTGCAAAATACACATCATCAACATCATCCTAACCAATCACAAAACGCTGTAGTATTGTAGGCATGCTGGAAGCTTGTCATTCACAAAATGCTGCAGGCTTGCTAAAAGCTGGTCAGTCACAAACTGCTGCAGTAGCTCCTAACATACCTACAATACCACAGCATTTTGTGACTGACCAGCTTCCAGCATGCTTACAATAACATACCTACAATACCACAGCATTTTGTGACTGACCAGCTTCCAGCATGCCTACAATACTGCAGTAGTTTGTGAGTTTGTGACTGACCGGAAGCTGATGGATGAAGAGTGACCCCTCGTGGTTTTGGACAATCTGACAAACTTTCTTGTCTCATGTCTGAGTGTAGATGCTGTCTGGATAATTATTTTCAGAGTCCTATAGAGATAGTTCTTGATGTTCCTTGGTGGAAGTTAGCTCAACTTCAACCTATTTGCTGCCTTTACAGCGTCACCTAGCGATCCAGCTGCTTAATACGAAGTTGGTTTTTATTTGACCATTCCGAGACTGTCTCACAATTCCATGTTTGATTAGTTTGCTCTTCAGGTGTATCTTTCTCCTGCTTCTACTGAAGAAATTATTTTCACAAGTCAAGCAGCTTGGATATAAAAAAAGGTTTTTGGTGTTTCGTTAAATTAACGTGAATTGATCAATATCTAGAGGTTTTTCTGGGTCTTTGATAGCCACAGAGCAAGGGGATTGGTATATACATCTCTTGGGAGGAAGTCTATATTTCTGACTCGTAATAGCATCTGCTCATCCGCATGCTTTCCTGATGCAATTTTAAAACTAGTATATCTTTCTTTGTTTTTTATTTTGTGAAGTTTAAAGTTTTTTTTATGGATCTTTTTTAAACAGAAAAGTCATGTTGGTCAATCAAAACATGACACTAATGTTCTATTTGTCCTGCTGGACCAAGAAGGAGATTTGTTTTCAAAACTGGAAGACATTTGGGAGGAAGATGCATTTTGTTCTGTCCCGAGTAGATTTTCTATCGATTTAACATACGATCGTTTGGACTTGCTTGCCTATTATGAAAATGCTTTTTTTATCATCTTATTTCATCATCTTTTGAAATAATTGCAGCACTTTGAATGCTCTCAACTCAAGCTGCACTTGCCTTTATCATTGGCTTGCAATGTTTGCAAACAATACATTTGGTAAAGTCACTTGTTAACTTCAACTGTTTGTTTTGGAGCACTAGTTTTAATAAACTATCATCACCTTTACCACGGTCAGTAATACTGATTGATATACCTGAAATTTACTGTTGTACAGTGTAATTTAAAATGACATTGTAAACAAAATATATAAATGTTGCAGCAACGTACTTGACGATTCACGGCAAGAAATTTCATGAATTATTAGGCTACATAAGTCTGAAGATAGATATGTGTGTGTGTGTGTGTGATGCATTATAACAATCACTTACTTACTGGAATGTTTTGTACTGTATCCAGGATACTGGCGTTATTCCTGGAATCTAATTGCTGAATGCAACAATGTAGCATGGTTTGTGGGAGTGGTAACAATAGAAAATAAACTTTAAATTCACTATTATGGAACAGCACTATAAATACACGTTTTCGTGTGCCTGTTTAGTCCAATGTTTGCTTTCGAAGAGACACGTGAAAGTGTCAAAACTTGTATTTATAGTGTTGTTCCGTAACATTGGATCTAAACTTTATCAACAGGGTTTTGAGCCCTATTTATTTCACCATACAGTAACCTAAATTAATTTAGGTATTTGAATAATGTTATGAGATTTCACAAGATTCATTATTTAATATTACACAGCGGACCAACTGTTAAAGATCCTCTTTTCAATTTCATCTTTGGTAGAAAAGAACATAACTCTAAAACGTATATAGTTCTAAACTTATTTTTATATCACTTTACATGTTATTGTATATTTACCTACTATTATAATGGCAACAGTGTTGTTAAAAAAAGCTGAAGCTAGGTTTAAGGGCTCAAAGTGACTGCATTTAGTTAATAATGATATATTTAGATAATTATTTTTAAATCTGTAAACATTTTATTATCGATTATTCATCATAAGAAACACTTACAGAAATTAATAAAATATTCAAGTTAAATATTTTCTGCTTTCATAGCATCGTTTTTCTTTAAGTGTAAAAACAACAACAACAAAGATTTTTGCCTACATTTCTGACCACCTAGGAACAACATCTGCTTTTTTAATGCAGAAATCACTGACTTTAAGATTAGTTATATTTGTGACTCTCAGTTGCATTTTATATTTAGGGGACTTTTCATAACTTTACTTATTGTTAAATGCAAAGGTACATAATGGGTTATTTGTGCATAGCCCAAACGGGTATTGAAACCCGGTTTTTAGGGTTTTTTTTTTCAGAAACACCCATCGTCTAGAGTGACAAACAATAATTTATTTGACACCAGACTGCCAAGGTTTTTACCAGGTTTACCTTTGTGGATTTCTAAATAAAGTCCTTAATACACCGTTAATGGAACTAATTTCGTTTATTATACAGTTATATATTCATTAACATGAATTATCTGATTAGATGTGCATTTGAAAAATTAATCTATAAATAACATATAAATCTTTAATTCTCTGTAGAGTTTCGGAGTTCATAAATCAACTGTAATAACTTATAAGAGCCAGAAGGTTATGAGAAACACACACACAAACAAACAAAAAACGTGGAAATTTCGACTTTGTGTTTTTTGTATATTAATATTAGTAATTTCCCATAAACATAGCTCATTAACCAGATGTTCTAAATTTCTCACAAAAACAATTAAGGCTTAAGTGAAGCGGCTGTAATCCCCCCTCCCGAACTGGCGTCACTACTACAAATATCCATAAAACACAGGTTCATGACTGTTAAGCGCAGAGTAATTGAACAGGGGCAGTAAAAGAAAACAAGCACAAAAGAAGAAATAAAATAATTTTTTCCACAGTAATTATTTAACCACACTGAACTGCTTATGTTTTTTTGAAATTCAAAGTGGCTGCTAAGGTGAAGTGGAGTTGTGTGAATATAACTCACTTTTATAGTTGGACCGAGGACCTGGTGCAGTATCCCACCATCCTTAGATTACATACTTCTATTAACATTCTATATACGGAACTTTTAACTACCCCCAGACTGGTTCGTACAAGTTTCTGTATCTGTTATTTGAATGGAGAATCCTGTAGTCGTCGACACAGGAATGTATACATGCTAGTCAAAAGTTAAGAGGGGTTGGTAGTTAGAGGGCTTGACTCGCAATCTGCAGGTTGTAGGATCGTAATCAGCCCTCAAACATGCTTGCTCTTCCAGCCATGGGAGTATTATAATGCTATGGCCAATTGCACTATTTGTTGGTAAAAAGTAGCCTAAGAGTTGATGATGAGCGGTGTCGACTAGCTACCCCCCCTCTAGTCTATCACTTCAAAATTAGGGACCGAAAGTACTGGTAATCCTCGGGTAGCTTTGCGTAAAATTCATAAAAACAAACAAACGAAAAACTTCAAAAAAGTGAACCATGTAATCTTTACATGTGTAAAAATATTAATATATGTTTACGACCTTGCGACATTCACACAGCGCATACGTTATCAGCTACGCTCAGAAAGTGCATGGAAATTTAAAACAAACACATGAACATATCTACTTAAAAATATAGTCTATACTATAATTATGATACTAAATCACCACACGTATTATTCTACATGTAAAATACGGAGTTAGACATAAACTATAAAGTAATAGAGATGTAGTTGGAAGCATTTCACTCTCTTTGTATTATAAAACAATAAAATTTTAAAATTTGATGACATATTGTGTTAATAATCAGTATAAAACACAAGTTACCTTATATGTTATTAGTTGGTGTAAAATAACAAAAGTATGCTGTACTATAACGCCTTATAGATTATGCTTAACTCCCTTTTTTACTTGTAGAATAGCTTCTTCAAGCGTTGCCATCTCGTTTGTCATAAAACAGAATGATGTTATGTGTCTCCAATTTACGACTAACTCCGTACCTCATTCCAAAAGTAATTTCGTTTAGATTTTGTGACGTTTTATGCGTGTGTCCGGAAGGCAGTACTAGTATAGATTGTTTTCAAGCGTTATTTCAAGATGTCTGTTATTTGATATCCGTGTTTCAGATATTTTGATATTGAATATTGAGGTTTAAGCATTTCAGACTTCTTGTTTCGTTGCGAAAACTTAACCAGCTCGACTGCGTAAGTTTATCTTCGGGATATATTTTGTTTAATTTATTATTGCATTTCTTGAAATATAAATGAAGGAAATTGTATTTGCAATGGGCCGTCGCACAAACTCAAATACTTGAAATGGGGCATGTGTAAAGCTGATAATAATATACTACTAGTACTAGGGATAAAAAATTGTTAAATTTGGAGTTGTTTAAGCTGTCCTCATAGTTCACGTTACGTATGATTGTGGGAACTCAGACTCGGAGAACATTAAGTACTGAAGAATGAAGTATTCTTCTAATTCTTATACAACAACATTCACAATATTTTAGGTTTTATTTAAACTCTAGTATAGGCATATTGTTATTATTCAGCACGAGTCAAATTCTCAAATTAAGTAATTATCTATACAAAGCACTAATTAGGCCTCACGTAAAATAATGTGTACAGTTTTAGTCTCCTTATCCAAGAAAGAATACTGAATTACTGAACAGGGGTCAGAGGAGGGTTGCGTTTGTTAAAGCAGGAGATTAGCTAGTTAAATGGATTGAGAATGTGAGCTGGTTGAGTGATAGAAATGAGTTTGTTAATGAAATCATCTTGGATTAATATTAACTTACAAGTGTTGTAACTTTGGGTTTTGTATCTTTCCTGTTTTTCATTTTCTTTAATGATATTTATATTATAATTGAATAACTTGTAAATTAGTTAAAGTTTACGTTTTATTTTTCAGTGTTATATTAACCCTTTCAAGATCTATGAGCACCATTCTGGTGTTGTATGCACACCTGCATATCGAATTTTGGAATGTAAGTAAAAAATTATAATTAACTCTATGTTAAAAATTTTTAACTTTAAAAATATTTTAGGACTTTATTTTTATCACTTTGACACTTACAGTAATTTACAAAAAAAGGTACCTCTTTTATTCACACGTCTTCAAGAATTCTCTTGTAAATTGCAATTATTGATTTTTCTAATTTTTTCTAATTGTTTTTTGCCCATCCCAAACTATAGGTTTATATTTGCTAAGGAACTGACCTAACACTTAAAAATATGATGTGTCATTTCTTCGTGTGATTTTTCCTTCTTTGTCAGCAGTTTTATTAGACACTTATGATGTCATGGCATGTGGTCTGAACAATTACTAATGAAGCTAAGCTTTGAAAACAGCTCGAACCAGAAAGATTCAGTAGAAAAGATTATAATTTATTTCTGACAATGTAGAGTAAATAAAGTGGTGTGATCAGTAATTTGTGTTGTGTCAAAATGTTGGTTATCTAGAGCTCTTAAAGAGAGAACAGAACTAATTGGAAGTTTATAGCACTTAAAAACAAACCACAGATCTGTAAATATTGTAATAGTTTATTTAGATATGCCTCTTGTTCCTGAAAATAGTTGTTACATTATATCTGTATAAAATTCTAAGAAAGTTCTTCTATAACGGCATCATGTAAGCTTAGGTTCAGCGAGTGATGTCAAAATATTGTGATGACTCAAGTCCTTATTATTGAATATTATTACGTTTATCATATATATAAACAATGCACACGAATGAAAAACTTTTAGTTACTGAAAACAAACTATATTGATTAGGTAAACATTTACTTCAACCAAGAGTGTAAAACTAGCCTGACAAAGGTAGTATTGATATCATTTTGAAAGGTTAGGTCTTAGGTTACTGGTGAACTTTTGTCTGTTTTATTTGTGAATGTTTTATAGCCAGAAGTACTTCACTTGATAAAATATCTACAGAAAGATGTTAATGAACATAAATCAAACTTAAACTGACAGGAAATGTAAAATTAAATTTTCTTATAAACATTTTATGATAAGAGGAACTGTTTTTAATACTTTTCAAAATGGTGCTTAAAATATAATTTTGGAAAATTTACAACCTAAAAAAAGATAGAAATATTCAATCAAATTGTATGAATCAGAAACTGGATCAGAAACTTCTTTATTAAAACCTTGTGAAATGTTTTTTATAAAGTTGTTAATCATATCTTAACTTTTTCACATTGATGAAAATAGAAAAAACTTTTGATATAAATAACTTTAATATTTCTATAAACTTATGAATCATTACAAAGAGATCATGTAATATTGTCACAAGCTTTCTTTCAATATATATTGAACATTGTACTATCTTTGTTTTTCTAGGATAGGATTGAATAATGTACTGCCTACCACATTATATGTCAATAATCTTTACTAGTTTTATCAGAAGGAATTGAAGGGCAGTTATTTTATATGAAGAAGTAGTGTATTTAGTTTTAGTAGATGTCCCCCATTTTAGACAAAGTTACCGTAAAGTAAACCAAACTAAAAGTAGCATGGTTAGTATTACCTGAGAATAATCAGTTAGTTTAATGTAATCCTTTATCTGTGTTCAAGTGGTCTTGTCACTCTCATTTAACCTGGATACTATATTATTAACTATTTAATCAAGATAATTATTGAGACCTATCACTTATTGAGTGAGCCACAAGGCTTTATATGTCTGTAGAGCTTTCTATAAGTTATGTTCCTTTAGCTACTGATGCAACAAGATATGAATATTTGATAAACATTACAATTTTTAGAATATGTTTTATATTTTAATCATTTGAAATGTGTTTCAATATGTGACTTAAATATATATATATTTGATCTGTTAATCGAAGTTGAGTTAAAATTAATAAACTTAATGTATTCTTATTGTACTTATTGTATGTTGATCTTGTAATCAGCTCGATCCATAAAGTACGTGTTCTGTGGAGCAAGAATGTCGTTGACAGTACAGCAGATTTTGAGTGATGCCAAACGACTAGTCAGTCGATTAAGAGAACATGACACGTCTGCTGATGCGTTAATTGCACAAACACAAATGCTTAATAAACACATAGAGTCTGTGAAAGTGGTGAGTTTTATTACTATCTGTTGAATAAAATAAACTGACAGTGGATCTTGGCCTTAAAATAATATAACATTATAGTTGTAGGTTTAGTAAAATAAATAATAGTATAAAAAGAGATTCAGTGCTAAGTAAGCTTGACTTTACATGAATTAATGTTAATTAACAGATAACAGTTAACA